GTGAAGTGTAGAAAGTACGAAAATCTATAAAACTAATTTTGAATACATAGTTTGGTGTCAGTAATAAAGATGAAAAGCCCTCGTTGGTTTGCGTGCTCGCTTTCCACGGCGCGACCCCGAGTTCAATTCCCAGTCGGGGCAAAAAGTAATTGTGCGTTTTCCTTGCATTGTCCCAGTATCTGTTGATGTGACAACGAGAAAGCTCACTTCTCTGGTTGAGAAGACCAGAACACAGCTTAGGAATGGCTATGTGCACACATACCTCTTAACCCTTGGCCGCAAGGCCGGGACGTTGCTGGTAGGCCTTAGCTCGTAAAAAGGTGTTGTGCCAAAGTGCATACATACAATACGGAAGAAAAAATTGGTTCGTTTCCTAATTCGGGATATTAAACTTTCGAATTTGAATACAGTGTATTTATTCACAGACGGCATCCAAAGAAAAAGAAACATCGAGCACTGCAGCAGATAAAATATAATCGAAATACTGAATGCTAGAACATTAATCATTTCTCGGAAATCAAATATTGTTAATTCTTTTTCACGTCCCCAGTTCTCAGGCCAATGCATCTTCGCACGTTTAATATACTACAAAACGTCGATAGAGCAAATATGGACAGAAATATCGTTAAAGTAAAATATGCTGTTTTTCGACTGTGTTAATTTCAGGAGAACCTCTTTCGCCTTTACACGAGAACATCTGCAAATTGAAAATGCGTACCATCTACCTCCAGATATTTTGTGGCCAATGTATTTATTTAATGGTGAGGCTTCGAGCTGAGAAAATCGCCTTGCGGACGACGGCGGGTGATGATCAGTGAGAGATTTTCAGGCACTATTATCTTCTCAACTACAGTTTTGTACGAGTTAGTTCAGTGAGCAATGAAATGATCAGAGCAAATTTATAAAATTTGAATTACTGTGATAACACTTGCGAAAGAGTAGACAAGACATAGCTCTTGCCCCCATGTGACGAATTTTACTTATAGTTCTAGGTTGTTCGCAAAATTTAGCTGTTTTAATACCCCTTTTTGTAGCAACTCCCAACCCTTACTCCCTGTTTAATTTGGAACTCCACCTCCTTCAATTGCGCCTTTAATTTAATACCTTACATAAACTAATATTAAAATGAAACTGGAAAGCACGCAAATCTTTGATACACTGAGCAATGACGGCAATACAGAATACTTTGTTACTAGAGACTGGCATTAAGTACATTGATTAATTACATAGTAACTTAGTGGTTTATGTTCTAACGCCGTATTAACTCAAATTAGCAATACTACAAAAATGAGAAGGATCAATTTTCATCAATTCACCTTTCCTCATTCGTTTTCGCCAGTTGTGGGAGCTCCCTCCACCCCCACGGCTCCTTTCGTATGCATGACTGAATACGCCGGATGAAAAAGTAATGAAGAATTTGGAGAAGTATAGCGTCATTACTACTTTAATTACATTTTTATGGGATCAAAAAGAAAGGGGGGGTGAACGGCAGAAAGATACAGATACAGCGAAGTTCGGAAAGCGAGAGGGAGTCATGAATCAAAGTTGTCGCCTTACCGGGGTAGTCGTGTCACCGTTGTCGGTTGTCATCTTGTCGAAATAGAAGAATGTGCTTCGGCGATCGTCACGTCATAGGCTGGGGCGCTGTCTGGTGTGACGTCCGAACAGCCTCTGCCTACTGCCTGGGGACTCCAGGTAGCAGTCTCAGAGTGCCTGGACTCTATCTACATACTGTGTACACAAGCCTTTACACTGTCTTGATACTGTGTGGCTCATGTTTCGGTGGTGGCCATCTTGTGTAGCACTGTGTTTTGGTTCAGAGGAGAACGTTCGGTGGCGTGTTACTGGCGTCAAAACTTAAAGTGTTCGTTAGGAAGCACCAATTAATGATAATTCGTAAATTCTGAATTCATTCATCACACTACAGGTGAGAAGAGACTTCCGGAAAGTCGTGTTGTGAATCTGTAATTTGAAAGCAAACCACTTAATCAGTAATTAAACGGCCCTCTATAACTATCATTTCTATTTATCCTTTCGCTTTCTTTAATCTCTCTCTTCAAATTCGTATCCTTCCCACGTTAAAGCCTTTGGAGATTGGTTCAAAATTTTCCCCCATAGCTTAATCTGCAACACCGACCCTGTCCAGTGTCAGAAATTGTAACTAATTGCCTTAGCCGGAAATGTGTGTTTACGGACGTGATGCCGCGAGTTTCAGATTGAATAATTGAGACAGCTGCAGTTCTCTTAGGGGGAGGGGGGGGGCGACACGTCCGCTAACAAGCGGATGAATGTCTCTGGTGAGGCGCAAATTAAAGAAGGGAAGAGAAGTCTGTCCTACGACACTTGCTGCAAAAATCATGGCAACTGCAAGATCAACTCGTTTGGTTTTACTCTCAGATACTTTTGACAAGGACGACGTAAAAATAAATTCACGTCCGCGAAAAATGTCTGTGCAGCCTCTTTCCCACAGACGCAAAGGCATTAGTGATGCAACCTCGACAACAAAATATCGATGTTCAATATTAAAACATCGATGTTTTAAATCTGGTCCAGCAACCTCAGACTTTAAATTCGTGCGCAACAATATTTAATTCGACAGTGGCCATAATATTAATTTATATTGATATTTTAATTGAATGCAAAGTTAGAAACGCCTCTCCATGTGCGAACTACGACGAAAGACGAAGGAAAAATCAGGATCATCCCGGGCGAGGGATAGTCTGTTCGACGAAGGTAGTGCTAACCGCGTTCGTGTGGTTCGAACACACACATAAACAGTCACCGACAACATAAGTTATTATTTAACATTTAAACTTTTACAAAATTGAGAATATGAGAATTACTCGTCCACAAATTATAAGGCATGCGACTCCCTCGAGAGGTCTTTCACGCAAGTGTCTTCCATGTATTCCGGCGGGAAAAGTGTGAACTGTGCAGTATCGAAAGGCGTGTAAGACTCCTCCACAGTATTTTGTATTACGCTTTTCAACATGTTGACGCTTGTGTTGTTCATCAGATTTTTTTGATATTTTTTTATGAGAGGGGTGTCGCTTTTGTTTTTACAATCCCAATTTTGTGATGACTACGAATAGAAAGGGAATGTCAATACTCTAAACGTCTAGCAGCAAAATTGAACAATAATCTTAGGTAAAGTTAGTGTATGAACTATTTCCCCAGTAGGAAGATTTCCTGCCTATTATAGATAAAAATATCTATGTTCTAGAATGCATTTTCTTCTTTTCTCACGAATTCTACTTTTTTAATGATTACACGGGACAGGGAAGAAATTTTGAGATCACCATTGGGAAACTCGCCACAGATACTAAATTTTCATATTAGAGTTTTCATCAACACAGACCTGTATCAAAATACAGAAAATCTAAAATAGGAAACTACCAAAAGTGCGTTTGCTAAAGGTATTTAGGATCTGATCCCTATTTACTGAGTAGGCAAGAGGGCCGTCAAACGTGTTCCTTGCATGGAAGCCGCCATTGCTCAGGCTGAGGTAAAACCAGTATGGCGGGTCGCTTGAAATGGCGCGCTTTTAAACTGGCTTAATTACACATTGTTACAATCGATTTAATTACCCCTGCGCCACTCAGGCAAATATTGCTTGTATAATAATTCTTAAAATGTTCGTACATTTTATAAGATAAAAAAAGATTATGATAGCAACTTTTCATTTGGTGGGGTACTGGTAGAGGTTTAAAAACGGCCGTTAATTACAATTGAAAGGTGCAATTCAATAATAAGTACACAATTGAAGTCCCACTCTTTTCTTACGTGAATAACCTAATTCACATTAGTTTGGCATATGAAACGGAGAACTCAATAACCGTCAATAGCACTAACTGTAATTGAACCATTTATTTCGAAAAGACCACGTATAAAACTTTCGTGAAAAATGAGCTAAGCTTTGATTCGGAATATATATGCTTAGTTACATTACAAAACGCCACGTACCTCCTGTTCATTAAGGTAATCTAACAAGGGTTCTCCGTTTACTTCAAATAAATAACTTCTACGGAGATGTAGGTTTTTGACAATGTGCGAGCGCCGGACAGATGTCGCAGAGTGGCCTTTTCGAAATAACAATAATTTCTTCTCTCCTTCAAATTCGAAACACTGGCGCCCAAACAAACAACATACCCTGACAAAAGGTGAGTGTATTCTAAATGAAGAATTTTCGCATCTCCACATAGGAATCTATACGTCCTCATACTGAATTTTATTCGAACGTTAACGCTGAATAACATTTCCACGAGCGAAACAGTTTAATTATAGCTCATATTGGAAATAACGAACATCCACAAAGAGCCTCTATTTAAATGGATGTTCCCAAATTTGAATGTTTAATGCTACAACTAGGAATAAAATCGGAAACTTTCTTTCTGGCCCCTTAAAATCCCTTCACGCGCGAGACCGACGACGCGCCGTGAGCGCCGACGAAGCCTATTGGCTGCACTGTTGGCTCATTCGCAAAGTTATACCCTTCTCATTGTATCATAAGCGAGACGAGCGATTATAGAACTCGGCGAATTAAGAGGATGACTCACGAGCGAGATGGACGCAGGCGCTGGGAGGCGAACTCTTGAGAGAAGCGGTACTCCTCGGAGGGACTGAAGGCCTCTGACATTAACAGCTTCGGAAGGGAAGCATAAAAGCGGCATTTGATAAAAGAAGATGAACTGTATGGTAGGAAAATGTTACATCTTTTTTACGGATTTGAATGACACATTTTCACCTCGCTGTTACTTAATATTTTAAGAGATGAAGACAATGCTCTTAGCATTCTCATGAAAATAGAGAGGTTGTAGTGGAAATGTACTAGATATTTGGTTATTGGGTATGCAACGCATATTTTGATACTTTACTGCTACATTAAATTTTATGAAAAATCACAATGTAACTCAATTTTATGACATTTAATTAAATCATTTTGTAATTACCGTAATTAGCTGTGTTTAGGCACAAGATTTTCAGAAAATTGTTTCAACATTCTATATTTCCTTGAAATCATTTTGTACACTTCTCACTAATAGCAGGGTAGAATTTCTCCGATTTCTTTGGGCGAACAATTGACAATGTAAAGCTGAAAATAACAAGGCTCGAGGTTGTTGCCTTAATGTTGTTCTTTGTAATCTGTATCTTTCTTCCTTCAACGACTTGAAAGACCATTTTCAGTCAAATTTAGAGGTACCTACAAATTTTATCCGAACAAAAGTAATGTATTGTATTTTAGGTTACATTTATCGGATATAAAAACATGTTTATGACTTAATTGGTATGTCAGAGAAATTCGCCCCAGATCCACTCTCCTCCCCGTAACACGTGCTGGAAAGGTGAAAGAGGTAGGAAATTACCTGGACGAGTCTCGATTGAAAAGGGGAAAGAATGAAAGGAGAGCTCTAAGAAGTGGGAAATTCCTCAGAAGTCTTAAAGAACTCAAAAATTATAAGTACAAGACGTTCGCACGAAACAAAATTAATTTATCTTAAATTGAGAAGCTGCACTTCTCAGTGATACGCAATGTTCTTCTCGTGGCACGATGAGCGAAACACTATTATTCCAAATGATAACATTTTATATTTAACGAAAAAATAGAGTTAAAAAACTGATATGTAGGAGAGAAGTATCAGAAGGAACTGAGTTTGAGTCCCGCTCGAGGCAAGCTTTTAAACAGTGAGACATTTCTGGTGGGAACTACAGACCTCGACAAGTGGAGGTAAGAGAGGAGGGGTCGGGTCGCATGAAAACGCGGCTTTTGACAGACGGAGATCTGACTGCCCTCGCAGAAGACGCCCCTCCCTCGCATCCCGGAAGCCACGTACCTTCCGCATGCGCTCCACCGTCTTGGTCCACCTTCTCTTCAACGGCGCGCATGAATACTGAAAAATTAGAGGTGTAGAAGGAACGCATCAAACGCAGGCCTTCAGCTGCCAGAGAAGCGGCACTTCTACGAGACACGTAATGCTATACAGGGTTAGTCAATAAAAACGTCCGCCTCCAATATTTCCAATCGGTTCCAGATACTGAAATGAAATTTTCACCAAGCTATTTAAACCACAAAGGTTCATCAATTGTAATTATTAGCTTTGTTATAGTATTTTTAATTTAAAAAAGATTGAACTGCGTTTTTTAATGGGACACAACTTTCTTACAACAATAGTTATTAGGAATTGAGAAGACAAAATCAGCAATACAATGTTCGATTTTGATGAATAATTATGAACACTAATTAGTTTTCAGTGCGGCTGAATTTCTAAACGTTTCCACAGCCTCTTTTATTTGCTGGTTCACAACCCCACAGATTAAGATATCTCGCACATTTTCTCACTTCTAAACCACAATCGACAACGCACAATCGGCAACCAAATTACTTTGTCGCAGGCAGAGAGCGAATGACGACGAAGGGGCAGAGCCGAGATTTGTGGCCCCGCGGCAGCGAATTGTTTCTGCGGGCAATTGACGTAAAAACTTTTAGAACATTCCAACCCATGTGTTCTGTAACCAACAACGTAATTTAAATACGTTTTCTTTACGGCTTAAGGAAAAAATTACCAGTACATATGTACTACAAAATATTTAGTGTCAATATGTCTATTATTGAAGTTGCAACTCTGGTGAATATGCCCTTGCTCGCGAAGAGCGCGATTTTCACAGCGAAGCAGAGAAGAGCAATTCTGTGCATTTGCTCCATTTCGGAAACCTACCAAAAGCCGTTCAAAGCAAAGACAACGTGCTGCCCGAACCGTAATGGTTAGTGTGGAGTGAATTTTGTAAGACTTACGCCACCATACATGATACATTTATGCCCCATTTAAAAACCGAAGATGTTTTAATCTGCCTCATAAACGATGCTGCCAATAACAACTAACCGGTTATTTAGTCATTGACCGATTCTAACATGCGAAGCTGCGCCGGTGCGTTTGGAATGGAAATTCAGCCGGCGTGGACACCGAGGCCGATGCACTGCCCACGCCAACAACTTCCGAGTACCTACTTTTCGTACGACGCCGGATTTCACACTTTTGTGCTACTGATTATTCATTAAATACCAGCATGTGGTGCTGACGAATGTCTTCTCCACACCTATCCATTCGTGTTTTGCGTTTCATTAAAAACAGAAACTAAGTTGATCCAATGTCTTGAAAATAAAAATGCTACCAAACACACACAAAAATAACTACATCTGATGAGCTGATGTCTTCTGATGAAACTTCCTTCGCAATTTCTTGACACGTTTACAAAATATTCGAGATGCACGTTTTATTGACTAATCCTGTATACCTTTCTCTCTGCATCACAGAGCGGAGGAACAAGCGATTTTAGAGGGGGAGTTTTACGCTTCTCGACAGAGGAATGGAAGGTGAGCTCTCTCAACATGTGAGAAATTTCACGCGGGACCTAAGAACATCTCAAATTAAATGTATAGGAGAGGCACCCGATTATGTCAGATGTTTTTGTTTCATCATCACGAATTAGGCTGTAAGCATGACACGAGATACGATCACCTTGTTAACCATTCATTAATTTCGCGTTATAAGAGATTGGAAATACCACACACAATGTGACAGGAAGCAGTGGTAGGCCAGTCGCCAGTGCAGTTTTACAGGCAGCGAATTGGCTATTTTCTCTTGGGTAAGACGAATTGAGGAAAAAAAAACAAATAAGATTGTCTTCGCTAAAGCAACATAGTCTGAAAATATTTTAAGAACGCTACAGGAAAAGTTTTTCTTTTTAATTTCCCCGATTTGAACATATCAAAGAGTACGTACAAAGAGTACGAAGACATACGTATCGTTTCCTGGCAGGGGCCTATGAATACTTTTGCAACATGGTGCATCAAATTCTCTATGCGAGGACAATCCCCGACATCCCCTCCATCAATTCGCGTCCCGCTCTCTGACGACGAACAAAGGTATTTCTCAGAGAAGGAAAACCTATTCACATTTTGCTCAGAAGCGTCCCTTATACTGAGGTTATTGATTGGTAGTTCTACGACATGGGGCGAACAGTTTTACTTCCTTAAAGAAAGAGACAGTGCAATAATTGTAACATACAGGGTGATGTTTCACTGATATAAACTCTCCACCAACGACTTGAGAACTCCATAACAAAATACGACGTGACCCGTTTTTCTCGCTGATGCACATTATCATGAATTTTTAATGGCGGAACATGGAATCCTTCTCGAACCGATATTTTGCTTCCCGTAGAGCACAGCTGAATATTGCGGCGCCAAAGGGTCAAATGGGCTTCTCGGAGGAGTAGATACAAAGCCCTCGTTTTCGGACTAATTTTTAAAATTTACAACTTAATGTTTTGCCGTTGTGCATATCTAGAAAATTAAATGTTTTCTCATATTTGCAGAATAATAGAGATCATATCGCCGTATGGTATGCCGCAGTTTACAGTAATTCCTTATTTGAACAGTTTATTTCCAAAGTGACGTATCTAAATTTGCTTTTGTTTTCTAGTTTTACATAAGAACATATTTTTAAGACATTTCTCCATTACGCTGCGAAATATTGAGTTCAAAATTGACGTTTTTCCTATGTTAAACAGTATCTGAAAACTGTTGAACTTAATCTTGTGATATATAGCTGAAAATGAGTACTTTCCCTTTCTGAAAAAAAATTATTTCCAAGAGAGTCGTCACAAATTCTTCCATTTATCAGATATCTCTCAAGAACAATTGATCATTACTAGTGTACTTGTCACATGTAATGCTATGGATGCATTGAAAATATCAGATAAATTCCCGAGGCGCGAAGCAAGAGTGGTATTTAATAGTATTTTTTATTGAATCTTATACGCAACATATTTTGATAATGTGTTCGAAATTAATAATGCTAATGAAACTCGAGCACTCGCAATACGCCGCTTCCGTAAGCAGATGTATCGCAGATTATGATTATTAGCCAAGAGAGAGTGATAAGAAAAGGTTATACAAAAAGCGATATTTTTTTCTACATTCACCGCCCTGATTAAGTCATACCAGATGTGTTGTTAAATGCTGTGTGAAGTTCTTGAAATGAATAATCAGCAAAATGCCTCGTATATTATTTTATCAGTACAATGTGCAAAGGCCGTTGGTGAAGAGCTCACACAGGTGAAAAGAATCCTCCTGTAGTTATAGCGTTATCGGTACTAAATGCCTGTCTATTTATTATTTTTTTTAAATCCGCTCCCTATAGTTCCGTCAGCGTATAAGCGTCTCTTTCGAACAGCATGTGAACTGTTCTGAAACAATCCGTTCGCGGGAATTGGTTTACGTTATCACAGCCATAATCGGCGGTCGCGCTCTTGGCAAACGAAGTGGTTCAAAAGGCTTGTAGAGACCTCACATCGTAAAATTAGATCGAATAAAATGTGCCTCTGCCGATGCTTCAGTGTGTTTGGGTGGCGATGTGGTTCTGGTATGGTAGAGACTTCACTAGTCCGGTCACGAGATCAATTATTTTCACACTCCAACATGCCAAACTAAATTTAGGAGAGACGGTTGTCAAAAGCTACAAATGATTAGCATTTATTTCACGAAATGTTCGGGATTTGAATGTGTGTGTGTGTGTGTGTGGGGGATCTCCGATACTTATGACTGTTTTGTCATTCCGCCATTCCCGGAAAATGTTCGCACGAAAACTGTTTCTACAATTCAAGAGAAGAGCACTTTCAAACTTCTATTTAGAGAAGAGAAAAAGATTTACACGGATTATTTCTTGATTAGAAGTTATTCGTTAGCACATTGCGAGTTCACGAGATTGCATGCCGAAAGGGCATGAGAGGGCATGAGGTCTTTTTTTTAATATTCTGTGACTGTGTGACCTCCGACAGCCTTCAACGTGCGTAGATTCACCTTTTAGTTTCCCTAGCCGACAATTCATTTTAATATCTTCACGTAATTTTCGACATGAACTTTATTACTAAATATATGAATAAACTAAAACACTCGTGAATACTATCCTCTCTCACTTAATCTTCTGGGACGTTATTAATGAGCACTCCAGCTCATTTGGTTGGCGAACAATTTCGCGAACGATGCAGTATTTGGTGGTATTCGTTTTAGAATATATCCAAAAAAAGAGGGTGTTGGCCTGAAACAACCATATGAACGCGACCAGAAGACATGCCCAGGCATGATATTGTGTCAATGCAGGGGTAGGGGACCTTCCTCGTTTGCATTCTGGATAAGAACTATATCCTCCCAAAAGGTCGTCACGAAAAAATAATGAACTGCAAATTATTTAACACAAATTTGTTAGAGGATATGTACGCGACACCGCTTTATTGAGGCCGTATCGTATGGCAATAAATGTCACTTACGTATATAACACAAAAGCTTTTGAAGGTCGAAAACGCGGCAAATAACCGTTCAAATGGGAGATCCCTCCTTAAGGCCGCATGTCCCTCACCCGCGTTCATGTAATGAGGTTTCAAACACCTGCCGTGTAGGTGATACCAGGCATCGTAGTAGAAATAGGCCTCGACACGTCGAGATGACAGAGACGCTTATACGTTGACAGAAGTATTAGATGAGCAGGTTTTCTTGAGCTCCAGAATCCCTTCCCCTTCCTTTACCAACACACGTGAATTAAGTATAAAAAAGCAAGGAGCGTTGTTGACAACTTCTCAAAATTAAAAAGTTTAATAGCAAATATTTGCCAGTAAAAGGTGCTAAAGAGTTGATTTGGCAGCACAGGCGGAGAAATAATCAAAACCCCTCTCCTCTAGCATCTATAGTACGAATAAAATTAGGTGGTTGACAGTTCGTGAGCTCAGTCATAAAGCCACTGTCGCAACCTTAGCAACGAAACTAGAAGTTTCGCGTTTGATGACCAATGTCTACTCAAATTTAAAAACAAATGACCCGAATGTTGTAGTTAAACCTCTGTGCGTCATTACAAGTGTTCAGAATGACGTTAATTGCGTTAAAGACCGATTCGTGACGTGAATTGTGAGTCGCGTGAGCTCTTAGTTTTGTTATTGACAGTCTGCTATCATAGCGTGATAGCTACATCGTAACACGGTAGAACGCATAATACCGGGCAACGACATCTCCCTCCACGTCCAAATGTCAACCACCTCATTTCATTCGGCCTTTGGCGAAATGAGAGCTCAAGAAAAACTTGCACGAATTATACAAAATGATTCAGAATAAATGTTACCAACTTCTAGGGCTTGTAGGCAAGTCAAAGATTACTTCTCGCCAATAAACATGTGGGAAATACATATAAGTAACACATATGACATTTTTGTTATGGCGCCCCTCATTGTAGGCTCACGATCTGCTCATACCAAATGACTATACCGAGATTTTGGTATTTTTGTTCGGCTCTGCGTTAAAACGTGGGTCGCCGATACCACCCAACCTGTCATGACTGACTTCGTACAAACATTTCTGAATTTTACAAAGTTCGGCCTACGAATGACAAACGATTGTCTTCTATTTTTCGTTTTAGTGGCGTTTGCTTCGAAGCGTAACAAAAATTAAACACCACCAGAATACTCGCGTTGATTAGTAAAGGATGGTTTAATAATGTCTGATAGAATCACCTTCGTTCTGTTGAAAACTTTTATGAAGGTACAGGGTCAAAGACCTCATTTAGTGATATTTATGTGAGAAATGTGTTTGCAATCATAAATTGTATGTATATCTTATTTTGCGGTTGCATAGCGGTTAGCGTATCAGACTGTTTTTACCCAAATTTGCGGATTCAAACCCTATCAAAGGGTTTCAAGGGAAGTTCAAACCCTATCGATTGATTTCTAAGGGCGAAGAAATCCTTCATACGCCTTCGGAGAGCAAGTAAAGAAGGCTGTCCCATGATGTAGATTTACTGCATATAAAGTTCCTCAAGCATAAAAGAAGCCTCCGAGCTAAATTTAAATCGCCTGTTTTGTCATCCAAGTAATACCTTCTTTATCCGCTAGTTGGTGGACTGAGCGCAGTGAAATTGGTGTGGTCAGACGGAAGAGCGGGACAGATGACCCGAGGCTCGCCACGTAAAATAAGGCATGAACTCATTGCACTATCGTTTTACAAATGGCTAAGGTGTACCCTTACCTTAGAATACATAAATACGAATAGTATAAACTGAATATGTGAATTCGTTATCGGATCCTGAGACGTCTGCAAGCCCGTGAGCCCCCTTCCTTGGACGCGCCACTGTTTATAAAAGATTTCCCATCGCATGGCAAAATGTAATCGACTCCCCTGCAAGTCCTTTACTCTCCGATTTAAACACAGTATCTGGAACTGGACGGAGAGAGGGAGAATGTCATCCATTCGGAAGCTTCGGTGCGACTTAAAAGTTTTGGTACTGCAGCTCCCGATTGAATGACAATGTCCCCGTCTCTTTCCAGCTCATCACCTTGAAATGTCACTTGTGACGCTGGCTGCCACAATAATCAAGGTAATGAAGAACCTTCCGGCCGAGCTAACGTGAACTCGTCATGACTGAGAATCAAGTGTTGATGCTCAAAGGCATACCGATCAATTGAGAGAACATCATGTTATGCTTCTCACGGCTGCGTAGAAGTTTGTAACATTGACTCTGAAGGTTCGCACGGCGCGCAGCGGCAGCAGCAGCAGCAGCATCGGCACGCACCTTGCGCATGCGCTCGTGCATCTGCTCCACCTTGTCCTCGACGGCGCGCATGACGGCCTCGGAACGCTCCTGCAGCGCGCGCAGGGCCTCCTCGCGCTCGCAGGTGCGCTGCTCGTGCAGGCGCATGGCCTCGCGCAGCTGCTGCTGCAGCGACACGGCCTCCTCCAGGCGCTCGTTGGCGCGGTGCTCCTGCTCGCTGAGGAACTCCTCCAGGCGGCGCCGCTGCTGCGCCGCGAACTCCTCCTCGCGCTCGTTCGCCTTCTGCTCCTGCAGCCGCAGCGCCTCCTCGAACTTCTTCTGCTGCAGGTACTTGGCCTTGTCGGACTTTTGCTGCTGCTGCTTGCGCGCCTCCTCCATGCGCTTGTCCTGTAGCGACATGGCCTCCTGCGGACGCACACACCCACACCGTTAGAACGCTCAGCATGCCGGGTTAGGCTTTTGTAACACACTTCTAGGGCATGTAGGGGACTGAAATTCATCGCTTTTGGTCAATGAATCTCCTATAACTAAGACACGCATGTGACATTTGCCGTAATTGGCAGGCAACTCGCCTTGCTCTGGCATTTGCCAAGTACACGAACTCTCTTTCCCGCCAGAACGTGCACCTGCCAGCCACCCCTGCAGAAGGCGTTGCGCACCTATTGCGCATGTCGCATGAATTCGTTATAAGAGATTCCACACCACATATCCATGGTCGAAATGTGCTCTTCAGCCCTCTACATATCCTAGAAATTAGTGTCACTCATCCTAAGACATTTTTAAACAAAATTATGTATTAAATTGTTGAGTTATATTAACTTTGTTCTTTGTTACACAGAGATTCACAACTCGTTACAGCGATGTCTCGATCCATAACAGCACCGCCTGGGATTGTGCGTTAAAAACAGATTAAAAATAAATCCTTACGTTTAATTGGTTGCACACTACTACAACCAGTTTTTTTTAAAAAATCGTAAGTTCATGATCGGAACTGTAATATAAAAAGTTATTGAATCTGTATAAAAAATTAACAAGGTCAACATAACCCACCAATTTAGAGTGATAAAACAAAAATCATACTTCCAAAATTGGACAAAAGTTTATAAATGTGAAACTATTTCCTTAATACTACGTTAAAATTAATAATCATTGTTATTAAGGTTATAAAAATTGCACGTGTTAATGATTATACCTGATTGCAAATATTGTTAATATTATTAACTTTCTGCAAATATTTTAAGTATTTAAACACTATGTAAAATACGTGCTAATAAAATTGAAGTTGATTATTGAGGTTATTATTAATTGAATATCCATAAATGATGGATTTCGAGTCTTTTTAAGCAAAGTTATTTTTTATTAACCAGCATTTTTCTGATAAGATTGTAGCGTTAGTAACGTATTGTACGACACATGGCAGACAACACAAATAACGGATTCGACTCTCGACACGTTTTATGAACTTGAACCGCGTCCGTTATTTGCCCCGTATCGGCCTAATGACGTTAATAATTAGTCACGTGTTGTTACAAGGAGATGTCGAAATCAGTTCGATGCGAGTTAAGTAATAATCAACCACAACAAAAACAGTTTTAATATTTATTAAAACATTCCAAAGTCAACTTTCGGGAAACACTTATCTCATCTTCAGTTGGTCTAGCAAAGAAAATATAAGAAAATTGTAAGGAAGACAAAAAGTATGGAAATAGATATGGAAGAACAAATGAAAAGAAATACATGAGATAACACTACCCTGGCAACGTTGATCAACTTTATCTCAAATACTTTATCTCAAATATTTCATTTCCTTCGTTCTTCCATACTTTATGGCATTTTCTTTCATGTCCTTTTCCATGTTATTGACCCACTGAAGATGGAAAAATTGCTGATCAAAAGTTGACTTTGGGATGTTTCGACAGGTTCTTGCTGTAGTTGATTCTATTTTAACTCACATTACGGTGTGCTACAAAATATCTGCTTCCACCACTGAATTTAACCAGTTCGATTTTACGCCCGCATTTTTTGAACGGCGCCTAAGAGGGTTCTTTTTTTTCTCCCCCGTTTGCAGCCGGGGCCTTGCCTGCATGCGCTCCAGCGCGCGCGTCATCAGCTGGAGCGCGTCCGCCATCGCCTCTCCGGACGTCGGCCGGACGACGCCGCTCATCGCCTGCTCGAGGGACCTGCGGGCACAACACGGCGCACCTGCGTCACGCACACGCGCGCGCCAACCACCCTCCAAACAATTGCTCACTTACAACTTAAGATTTTCAAATAAAAAAATATATACACACACAAAACAGGACCCTGAGGAACGCCCACATTGCGTTTTGCGGAGGACTCCCTCCACAAACATTGGGTCGCAATCCTCATCCCAAGGAGATTGCGAACTGGCGGGCGAGAGGACGGATAGGTTTTGAGCTGGCGGGTGCAAGGAAGGATCGTGTTAGAACTGGCTGGCAATGGAAAGATATGTATGGAACTGATGGATAGAACGGAACGGTAGCTTGCGAACTGGTGTGTCGGGAAAGCCCAAAATATGGAACTGGCAGGAAAAAAGGTCGGTGGAATCCTGAATTCACACGCGGGAGGATTTTGAATCGGCAGGTAGAAATGGGGGATATTGTGAAATGGACAGAAGAAAGGACAGATTACTAACTAATGATCGGAAGGTTAGATTTCGAAAAGTCGGAGGAAAGGGATGGTGAATTATGAACTGACGGACAGAAGGAAATAAATATTACGAACTAGCGGGCGGAAGGACGAGATTGCAAACTAATGAGAAGGGTCACCTTCCGAGTGGGCGGATAGGAGAGGCATCCTTCCCAAGCTGAACTTTCAGCCCAGCGGGGTGGGAGGTGGGGGGCGGGCACTCGTTAATAAGCCACCAGCAGGGGACAATAAGCACCTGCAGTCGCAATGCGAAGAGACAGCCGAAGAAGCCATGTAGACGGTGGCGTCGGCGCAGGCAGCTTCCATCGCGCCAGGGTGGAATGGGAGGCGACATCCACACGGTGGCGCCTCATGTTGCAACATTGCACTTGACAGAACGAAAGACTTATTGTACCCATCCTGTTTCTTTACCATCTCTCTCTCTCTCTCTCCTGCGGTGGCAACATGAGAAATTACCTTGTAGCAGAGGGGCAGGGATGGAAGTTCAAGAAGGGAATAAGGAGGTGGGAAATAACCGTCTCCAATGGCAATCACGGTGGAGGAATTAGGACGCGAGGGTGATCGAGGAAGAACAAGGAAAATGACAATCCCGGAGGAAGACGAGGAAAGCTTGGGCATAATTATACCGCGTACCAATCTCTTTTGTGCTTGACAGCCGTGCCGCGGGTAGGGCAGCGTTGCCGTTCTTTTCCACCCTTGCCATGTGCTCGTATGTTCGGCCGCGCTTCACTGGAAAGTGAATTTCGCACTATCTCCTCCAACTGTTCGCTGCACGTTCGTGGCAAAACGGATAAAGTCATCGGAAAAACTGTCGCTATTGCTCGCCGCTAAGACACCACTGGCGAAATCGCTACGTAACCTCCGTCAAGCACAAAGATTAGTACGCGGTATATCCGTCTGTTTGGGGAGTGTGAAGGTAACTACGCTACCCGCCAGTTCGAAATCTCCTTGTAATAGGGCTCGAAATGACCAACATCACGCTCTGGCCTTCCCAATTCCAAACGATCGCGGAAGGGCAGTGACAAAATGCAAGACCAGATGAATCTAGGTTTCACTCCGACGGAAAAGTAGTCTAAAATACTATCGTGACTCACGGCCGGTTAACTCCATTCCGGGCATTCACCCGCAGGTAGACCAACTGTTAATTGCTCAGATATCTTCACGAGAGGCGTACAGAATTTGTCAGAGGCGTCAGCTACAACCTCCCTCGGACGAACCCTTTTCTAATCGACGGCGCCCAGGCAAATAAGTCACGGATCACACGACCAGAGTTCACGCAAAGACGACTGTTCGGGTGACGCTGCGTCCTCACCAGTGGTGCCACAGCTGCGGGAGAAATCTTTCCGTGGCCCTCTTCAGGTTTTGAACGCGCGGGAGTCGGGATTAAGCAACTTCAGCGGAAAGTGAGAAGTAAAGGAAGGAAAAAAAACTTACGTAAGTCCCACTCCCACGACGTCTCCTACACGGCTAAGAATACATGCGACGTATTGATCGCCCACCCTTCCTCGCCTACCGCACCAATAGCGACAGTTAAAATTCAAAAGATAAAGATGTCTAGACACGCGTCAGGGGTATAAGGGGCAGGCCAGAAATAACGAACAAGGCAAAGCAAATAAAAAGTTCGTTCGGTTGCGGGACCGTTCGAACTTTCCAAGTAAGGGGTCGGTATCATTTCAAAATAAAAATGATTGATTGAAAAGTTGTAATTAATTAAGGGCGCATCACAAGAAAGAACAGTGTTTTTTTAAGACAAAACACGATCAGGAACTTTTTAAACATGATGAAAATCTTATCTGCAGAGTTCCGAAAGGTTCGAATCCTATATTTTCTGAGAGTAAAAAGAGTACTTGAGACGTATTGGCGACGGACAAGTTAACTTTAAGGATGTCCTTACACTTCTTCAAAATCGGAAAGATTACTTTTGAACTCTCTAAATCACCCGAAAAATAAGTAAACTGTATATTTATTTTATTTCAACTGAAAAATGAAATATTTCTCTGTCGTAAAACTGTCTCCAACTTTTCATTGAAGTTACTAATTAGTACACCAATGTTTCTATTGACAGCATAGCAACGTCGTGTATTCGCTAGACCTTCCCGAGAAACCTTGTAATACGCTTTATTGTTCAAAAAAAGAGAACGCTCTGCTTTGCCGTGACGGATTGCGAGAAGAACTAGTGCTGTCCGCAAGGAGAATTTCACTATCATGTGAACGTGACCAACTACAATCGGTCACAAGATGAACAGACGCAATCACGTTACACAATGCAACCATCATGTTGTTTCAAAAATTAGATAACCGATGTTGTCAAGCCAGTTCATTGACATACTAGCACTGAAAGTTTAAAACGAATCACTCAAGAAACTGCTCAGATCTCGCATTTCCATCGTGTTATTACATATTATTAGTAAGATTGTAACAACGAATTCAGTAGAGACCTTTTTCAATTTGTTCAATACGAGAGCTTCAGGAAGCTATCCTCCTCTGGGGCACCTGGATCAACAACAATACCGCTTCTGGATCAATCCATTTGAGCTCTTATCTTCCATTGTTTAGCGCATCGCAGAATGTTGCGAAATTCCGCTGAGTGCACGATGAGCGCTTAGTCTTATAGAATAGTTGTAAAGTTTTGCAAATAAATGTCTGAATAACTTAATATTTTGACAGCACTAGTATTGTGACACGTGTCATTGACCCTAGCTATCCTAACTTTTATTTGAGAATATTTGGTCGACTATGGCTGAATTTTAAATATATTGTTTTCCAGAAATAATTTCAAAATCGACCCCTTACAAAATTTTAGGAAAGCTTTCTGGAAATAGATTAGACGGGTTATGAAGTTTCAAATTGATTACTAGATGGCAGCTCCTTTGCAGACCGAGTACAACTCCTGTCGACTAGCGGAATCAGCTCTACGTGCAGCGAAACATCTGGGCGTCGGAGGGGTCCTCACTTTGGAATGCAGACCCGAGGGGCTAAATCGAACCATCGGAATCCCAGCATCCACCGCGACTAATTCCAAATTGTCAGCGGAATGTGCTTCGGTACAAGAGTATCTCGGCAACACAAAGACGAAAAGTTCGTGAAAAAAATTAGGACAAAACATCGAGGAAAACCCAAGGTTGAGTGGAAATATTGGTACAGCAAATGGTAATGGGATTCAAAGTTATGGTATATTTGTTACTAACAATAAATTCAATTTCAACTAAGTAATAATTCATTAAGAATTAAAATTAAACAATTAAGCCTACAAATATTCGGATGCAATTGGATGGTTGTATTTTCAACTGCTTTCAACTCGCAACTGAATACGAATGAGTGGCCCTAAAAAGATTAAGTTATGCTAGAGTAAACTTCAGGACTCTCGCGCCTATTGAGCCATTTTAACAAACAAGTACTACGCGAATGTATTAAACTCTTATTAGTGCTACACTCTGCTATTCTTGGATTGACAATTAGCGCTTTGCTAATGAATTACTGAAATTTGTTAAGGAATGGTATCGCCGAAACACTCGACATATAAAAGTAACTTCTTTCCTTTTTTCCTTTTGTTAAATTAACTTTTTATTCAAAATGTAACTGGACTTTCAGTTGTATGTAACCTAGTTTGGAGGCGTGATTCTTTTATAGAAACACCTGAAGAAAACGTTGGCCCTAGCGATTTATTTACATAACATCCATTAGGGTGCACAACGCGCAAATTGAGCTGCTAAGGAGAGCGATTGTAACTTATAATTTTCTAGAGCAGAATATTTTTTTCATTTCAGATTACAAATCATGTCTACGTTAAATAATTTAAATAAAAATTGTTATAGTTTCAAAATATTAAATTTCTCATTGGAACATTCACAATGTATCAAACGAGTACATTTTGCCTTAATCGCAATACATTTGAATCTACATGATAGTTTCTCTACGTGGTTTGTGGATTAAACGAAAAATTATTAGTCTGACCATTCCTCTTAATTTTCCATCAACTGTAACACCTGGCACTACTTCTGGTTGGCATGCATCAACAATGTAAATGACACAGCTTGTGAAGAAGAATATGGTGCGTTGCTAGGATATACAAATTAAGCGCATATTATTTCTTTGCTTCTAGAATTGGACCCACAAACTTCAGCACACGCGACCGAAGTAACCAAAACATTTTGAGTGTCTTCCTCTGCTATATGAATGATATTGTTCAAAGTTCATTTATTAGAAATCTTCAATTTCATTTAAGTGTTATTTATAAAGGATAAAATAAATCCTTTAGAATGTTTGATAAACAATTTTTTTAATCGTAGATTTATTGAATGATAGTTTTCTTTCTGGACGCTTAATTTAGCAGTGGCTCAGTTGACATCTGTTCCCTTCATTTGGATATCTTATTTTGTATTGACTGAACATTTACTAGGATATCGTTCATAATCTTAAGCAATTAGTAGAAAAAAAACAAGGTCCAAAATTGACATCACTGCACTCTTGTCTCTAACAGGGAACATTGACATATCCTCTGAGCCCGCAAGAGATCTGTTCCAAAAGAAATGTTGAGAAACAACCAGTGTGTATACCTCCCTGCCCAGGGACGTATTTTACCAGTACTTTTTTTTGTAATATGGAATAAGTCAAACTTGCGATTTTTTACCACTTCACCTCCAATGTCCGATAGGAAATAGCATGTACGTCCGCAACTACGAAATTACGAGGAATGGCCACCATCCACACAGTAGAGACCTCGTATATCTACATGTGATTTTGCCTTTCAAAACTATTTGCTATTATTTGAGGCATATTTTAGCAGCATCAAAGAAAGCCTCCTGCCCGGGAACATTACATAAGGGGACTACCCTCAAACAATACATTCATTTCAACATTCGCCGTTTCATTAATTCGTAAACGTTTCTTTGCAGCTTTTGCTGGAGTAAATCATTTTTTTACGTACTTTATTCCAAAATGTTGTTTGGAACACAAACAAACAAAACTTGTCGTGCTACAACACAGAACATATTTTCTCATAGCACTGACAACAGTTTTATTCATTCGTCTAATACCCAATTGGGCACAACTTACGCTTATTATCTTCAAGCCAATAAATCTGTCATCTACATCTGAAACTCTGAATTCAATGAAGACTGTTATGTTTGAAAAATAATTCAGGAAAACGCTGTAAGATATATTTATTTTTAAATCACCACTCATTCCTATTGGTGCGTATTGTAAAATAGCTAAAAATCAACCATCAGGATACGTTTTCATGGCAACAAACCCCAATGGCTTCGAGCAAAAATTAATTCTCGAAAGGAAAAAAAAATTTAAAAAAATGAAAATGACCATAGAAGGTAAACATTACAATCCGTAGATAACAGCAATAATAATCAAAAGTAAATGTGTGACTAAAATGGGAAGCAAAAATATTCCCAAATTTCTTCAGCAAGCGGAACATCGCAACTTTTAATTGACACAGTTTTCACAGTAATAAGCAATAAAGAATTCGTGCAATTTGGGGAACTGCGGAAGAATCAATAATGATATTGGGGAAAAGAGACTGAATGATCGGTACATATCTGCATCCATTTTAATCAACTACATTCGCAAGAAGCTGAACCAAAATCATTTTTAGAAAATATATAATTGCAATTTACTCATTTATAGAACTGACGTTTTTAGTCGCGTTTAAAGTATCATCCAAAGATTCACATTTCGATGTAACAATCGAGAACAAAAAACAAAACTGTTTTATTTATTTATTTATTTTTTGGCGGAGAAAGGAGTTTTTTGTCATAAACGTGGCTTCCAAAATTTTTCATCATCTTCCCCCTGTTAATTCTGAGGCCACACTGAAAGATTCTGAATTATAGTTATGCGGTTACGTACAACTTAAGAGCTTGAACAAACATACACCACCACAGAACTCTGGTGCCTTCACTGACAATACATAAGAAACGTCCGATTATAATTTAGGCAGCATATTTCATATATTTGTTGTTTGTTTGTTTTTCTTTTCTATTTCTCAAAGTTCGCGACGTAGTCTCCAGAGATTTGCCACTGTATATTTCATCTCACTAAATATAAAATTTCGTACCTTTCTCGAACACAAACACCTTTCCTAATGTAGAAAACTGTGCCCACGCAACAACAAAAAAGTCTGGGATAAACTTAAGGGGGGGCGCGAAAGGGCACCGAATTTATTCGGGGTTTTTGCCATGTAACGTTTCGAGCTTACGAGTGTGTCATCTTGTGCACAAAGCGTCCAATGCGCCTAAATGTCAATCAAATACGTCGAAAAAGAGAGCGCAGTATTGCTTTCCTAGGACTGCAACTACCATGTGCCATCGGCAGCGCTTACACTGGAGGTGGTGCATCGTCCACTCCGCAATACTGCAGCATTATGCAGTACGTCCACGGCTGCTTTAGGGACTCATGAGGCCTGTAGCGTTACACCACACCGAGGACTGCCTCTTCAAGCAATCGCTCTGCGACGTTATAAAACTCTATAAATAAGAAGCAAGGCTATCAGTAAGGCCGATAATAAGAAAACAAATTAGATTTTTCCACATCTAATGTGACTACGGAGAAAAAAAGTGGTATGCATTGTTACATAAATTTTGACCAAATGTTTTTTGTAAACAATCTCTATTGACACAACACCTCACACAATTATAAGCTAAAGCAAGAAATAAACTGGGCGAAGACATCAAAAACAAAATAATACTGCCAATTCACATTTTGAGCTTTTTTTTGAAAAGGTTTCCACGTGGAGGCCATGATCAATTCATTTTCTGGTACACAGCACAACGTATCCGCATATACCTGTTAAGGGACACTTCACTTCCAAAATAACAGTTTTGACAGTTTTTTCGCTTTCGAGTAAACAGCGTATGTGGTCACATCCCTGTGGGTAAAATGCCACGGGAAAAATCTGTCAACTCCTGGTTTGTTCAGGATACTGGTTCGTGGTTAGCCTGTTCTGAACGTGCGAGTCCACCTGTTTTGGGTAGAGTTTTACGCAAATCTTTTCACTTGAGGTACGTTCAGAAACTATAGAGTGGTGGTATATTTGTAGGTCTTATTGTATGTCAACAGGATCATATACAATATGTAGAACAAACAAAATGTTTAGTTCCCCAGGTTGTCTTTAATGGCGTCCCAGATGATCTGCTATCTGAATTTTCCTACGTGGACTAAAGCTCCTCTATGAGATCGGAACTGTGGGGAACAGATCGTTTTTCTAATGTGCGTTTCTAGTGTGTTTTTTGTAATGTGCCTGTGTACCGGTGGGAGAACAAGTTCTTTTGAACGATTCTAATTTGTACAATACGCACAAAAAAATCCTACGTGACGTCACAAAAAAATTCTACTTTAAAACGTTTGGGTGCCACTACTGCTCGAAAATACCACTAACAAAGCAACGACAATTTTGGTATACACCACAGATTTTGTGCAAGAATTATGAAACGGCTCAATTGCGTTTCTGTGTGCCATCTCTCTGGATACAAGTAGTATAGTTTACCTCCCCTCTTAGGGTTTGGTATTCTTTTCTGGGGATGTGGTTGTTAGGGTGGCGTATCACACCCCAAAGGGGCAGTTGGAGGAAATACTGACCAGTGTTTGAACACCTGTGAGAGTGAAAGTTATTCCGTTAAGCCCAAAACGCGGTAAAAAAAGAGAGGGATAGAACAGAGCAAAAGCCGACGGATAGAACTGGCCAAAAACGGGCGGCATCGGCGCAAGGTTAAATACGAAATGCGCCAACCCACTACTAGGGCGCCTTCGTAATTCGGTAGAACATGAAATGCACCGACACGGACGGGTAAAACTGTCTCGAATCTGGAGTGCGTTCTGAGACTCTAATGTTCTAAAAGTGCCGTGTTCAACAAGCCAACGAAACGCAGTATCACGGACAACCGCGCAACTATAATGTGCTATTTGTGCTTCTGGAACGGACTACTCGTGATAACAAAGAAAACTATTTGTGTTTCGCGTACACGGGAAATAACGTAAAAAATTAAAAACATTACGAAAAATAGACAAGCTGTCGTGGCGAAATCTCAAAACTTGTCAAATCAATGAAGGCCAAAACAGGAACCCAGAAAACTTTTCAATTGTGTTCTATCTATACTTTTATGGTTTGTTAACCAATTTTCATTGACTATATGACTGACGGAGTAGTATAGGCATTGACAGTATATAAGATAGAGATAGTTGGCAAGTTGACAGTAGTACAACAAGTTTTTAAATCCAATAAACTATTAAAATGTTATTTTCTTGCAGTGTTTTTCAAATTTATAGACCTTTTCGTAAGATCAACGCCGTTAACCCTTCAACACATTAAAATAATCATAACCTGTCCATTAGATCTGTCAAATGACTCATCATCTAATTGAGGCATTGGGTATTTTGTTGTTGTTTTTTATACATTTTGCAAAAATCGCTTTTACATAAGCGACATGACCTAAAAATTACTGGTAAAATAGTTTGTTGGAAAAAAATGTTTACATCGCGGATCACTAGTTAGTGAACCCCAGGAGCTTCTATGAGGACAATTGCTCTAAAGTAGCGTTTATTCCATTCGATTTCTTCGTACTTTTTCGGCATTTATTTCTTACCAATGACATTTGGAAACTTAAACAACCTCATCAGATGCCTTGTGGCACATTTAAAAGCTATAAAGCCGTACTGTGGTAACGTACAGGATTTTTGAAGGCCTCCATGAGGGTCTTGGGGAGAAAAATGATTAAAAACACGAGCCTACCATCACCCTCAAATAAGAGTACACTTTCTCTAAGCAGTGAGAGAAACGAAACTGACTGGTTGCTCACCCTGGAAGGGTGTAAGGTTTTCCTCACCTATTCCTTCCCAACAAATTCTTACTGAGACCACACAGCATCCAGATATCTACCATAAAATATTCCACAAGACGTTAAAGAATGAAGTTAACAACGATTTCTGTTGCAAACCTAGACAACACAAACAAACGCTTTAAAAGGTAAAATGAAAAGAAATTTATGAACGTTTGTCTATTTTAATTTATGAATGACAGATAATCATCCTGCCATTCAACAGTTAAAATTTACAATATAATAATTGTCCTAGAAGTTAATAAACAAGTTCATTAATATTTTGATTAAAGCAATTAAAATTAAGCAATATATTGCAAAAGCAATTTGATTAGAATAAAAATTATGCATACCATTTTGTAAACTTCTAAACAGATTTACATTTTAATTGAATAATTATAATAATTAATAACAAATATTCATTAGCCACATCCTCTAATCAATTTTTTTAAAACAATTTTTAATTATTAGCAGAGATTTTTTCTTCTCAAAGAACCATATGAAGACCAATCATGATTCTGAACATAAATTCAGAAAATAAGAAGTGTATCAAAACTTGTCAATATGTTCAGAAAACTACATTAATATTACAGATTATTCACTCCTGATGCAAAAGAATATTGACAGTATGCTTCCTAAAACTGTATAGAAAAATAAACTTCTTTCATTTCAAAGCATTTCTACTTTATTCTTTATTGGCAGTTACTTTATTTTTCTGCGGTGAATGTGAACGGCAACAAAATTTAGAGAAACTAAAGAATTAGTTTTATTACAGGTGTATAATTTAGTTAATTTTGCCATATTCAACAATGAAGAAAAAGAAGTTTATATATAAAATTTTTCAACACAACTCGGTTTAATTTTAACCAACAAAAAAGTCCGAGTAACTTAATCAACCTAGTTTTACACAACTCTTTTTCAAGTTAACAATGAGTGCAATTAATTTATCACTGCAAGGAAACCAGAATTTCAAAATGTACCCAAATGAAAATACAGGAAAGGAAAGAGCATAGACTGAATACCGAACCAAAGCTAAGTCAATTGATGCCCATGATATTTTGTAATAACATTAAGATTTCTTCAATAATTTCTAAAAATATTTAATTTATTTGCATATAACAATTCAAATTTGTAATTTTGACATAGAAATTAGTAAATCATTGACAATGATTTAAATTTACTAAAATGAACAACAAATTCAAATTTACTTACAAACACTGTCAATGAAAATTAAAGGATGATGTATTCACAGAATATCCATTTGAACTAAACTATGACCCTATGTTATCATACATATTTTGTTAAATTATCAACAGAAAGATGTGCCATTCTCATCACTTCTTGACACACACAGTAACACTAGAACAAGCAAGTAAACACACTTACGCTATAATTCTCAAATTGATTAGTAGAATAATTATAATCGTTTTATTTCATCAAGAGAAGCATTATATAAATAGCATGACCACTCAAGTTTTCAGCTTAACCACCACCAAACAAGAGCTGAGGTATCTCTTACAGTAATGACAATGCATCAAGAGATACAATCCATTGTAAATATCAACAATAATGCAATCAAAGAGTGAATACAGCAAGAATTGAAGTTAACACTAAGTTTTAGAATAAAAATGAGCCTAAAATTTAATACACATGCTCATCAGATAGCAACTCACAGAATGGATTTTACAAGCAATTATTAACCAAATCAGATATTTAGTTACTTAGCAGAAACATACAAGCAAATGCAGGTGACCACCAGTTTTGCTTCTGGAGAATAGTTTGCATCATACCCAAACATTCTACACAGGTTTTTAATTTTGATATGAAGGGGGCAGAGAGAGGTTCAATTAAATATAGGTATCCAATCTGCTGCCCAACGTTCAACTGAGAAAAAGAATATCTAAAAACACAAATTTCCTATATATTTAAATAAGAATAATATAAAATTACTCCAATATGATCTCATCCCTCAGTTATGTTGCAGGGTGGAATTATTTATTATATCATTCAGTGCAACAGAAGAGAATAATAACAAGTGCCTGTATTGAGAATTATAACAAGTGTGTACAGTCCAATGATAGCTTTCTGCCTAAACAGGTGGTTGTGTTTGCACTTTATTTTAAATTTTATTTTGTCTAACAATTTTTTTTTTTAATTTAACTTCAAAAACCATTTACTTCTGAAAAATTCCTGGTATGTGCACACGAATGGAAAACTGTCTATTTGAAAGGGCTACTTGTGAACGCATTGTTTTATATTTAATGTTACAATTAAAATGGATTCAAATTATATGTTACACTCAGTTTTTATCACTTTTCTTCCAAAATATTTTTAGCAGACAATTTCCAAAGATGATTTTAAATTATTTGTAATATTCCCTACACCAAATTATTTGTCACTTTGGCTCTGCAGTCAAACAGTTCAAAAAAATTTCACAGGTACCAGGATCGCAACATCAAATTCAATACAATTTAGCCAGTATAAAGTTAACCGTTAAATTTAAAAGTATAATCACTGTAAACTGAAAATTTTCTGTTGATCTTGAAAATTCCACACAAAAATCGAACGCAAAATGAAAAGAAAATTCTATCTCTTCAATAGAAAACCGTATTACTGTCTATAGTCACTAGTGGATTTTTTCCATTAAAACTACAAGAAAAACAAATTCACAGAAATAAGCTTTTTGGTATTTTCATTCTGTAGAACATTCAAAGTGCTGAATTCATAAACGGATTAAAACCGACTTGCAGTACATGTATTAGAAAAAATTAAAAACGGTCCCTTGAATGTGTTTTCTTCACATCATTAAATGAAGGGATCCAGTCATGCAGCAGATACCAGATCGACGAAGAAGACTAATAAAATATGAAGTGTCATTCCAATGAGACATGAAATCTAAACCTAAAATAAATTCTCGCATTCATAGGAAATAGTTAGAATTCATTTCTATACCTCAAACTAATAAATTCCAATGAATTTTATGAAATAAACAGATAGATCTCTATTTACATTCTTTCATACCCTCAAACGAGAAAGAACATTTCTTCTAAAGAAAAATTTTTGTTCTCATCGAACAGTTATTGTTTTGCTTGTTTTTTGTTACAATATTAGGAGTATCCTGGAATTCTGAAAAGATGCTCTTTTCTTTAAAATGATTGCCATCAAATCTTTGGTCGTGAGATTTCATAGACAACAGAAAATGTTGCTTCACAAAATTTATCTCTGACACGCACATTACTTATAACTACACTTGAAATATAATTTAATGTCAAAAGATTTGAATTCTAGATCAGATAACAAACTAACAGAATCCTAACCTAAAAACAAAAATTATTGAAGAATGTTATTTTATACGTTTTATTCATAAGAAGCATACTAAACAGCATGAGCTAAACAACAAATATCCAAGAAATTAAGATAATAATTTATAACTTCAGTTTAACAAGATTCATTATTTAGGCACAAAATCAACACGATAAAAAAAGAAAGGTACGCTTTCTATGCAGACAATGTCTTTTCATTAAAGTATTTTACTAGTATTTTTCTATTACTATTTAATAAACACCAAAAACCTAATCGGGTGTTTTTCTTACTGTATGTCATTTACAAACAATTGTAATTGATGAATGAAAAACACTCTTAGAATATATAAGCAGAAGTATTCCCAGTCCACTGTGATCAATATCTCTCTGATTTGCTAACCAACCAGATTTTAACATTCACTAGGACACAAACTGTGATAATTACATTTAACACTATCAATTTTGGTATAACTAAGGATATTCATGGGATTACAAGGTGCATAAAACAAAATAACTTTATTTTTAATTACTTCACATCATGAAAACGAGAATGCCACACGAAATTACTGATAATTAATATTAATTAAAAGATCGGAAGAAAGATAATTTACAGGCTATTAAATCTTGTACGTCTTCCCGCTTAACTGAACGTGAAGGCCAAACCAGTTAACACCGCAAAAATCAATCTCGTATGTAGCTATCACATCAACTCTCATCAAGTAAATAACTTAATTAACACCCGCCTACATTCATGTGCATATTTTGAAGATCTGATCGTACTTTGTAGAACGTTTCGACGAAATTAATACAGAGAAAATACTACTGCAGAATAAACCGGCCTTGAAACATACGAAAACGAACCACATAACATAACGAGCCAAGGCGTCATTAATTTACACCTCCTCACAACACGCTACGTTTAGTAATGTCCTTTTCTGTTGAACAAGATCGGCCGATGAAATTATTGTTTCTTCACCACAAATCACCAAATAAAAGAAAGAAATGTAAGCTTTCAGTACGTTTATGTTTCAATAAACAATATTTGGGGATACATATCTGTTGACATCGATCAATACTGTATTAACGCCTCGATGACATAAGACAGAAATATCACACCTATACTCATACAACTTCCGCACTTCCTACAAGACATTTGCGATTATATTGAAGCTGTGATAAGTCAGAAATCAAGAGTTCTCAGTAAAATCACTTGCGTTTAATGACGCCGACACCTAACCCTTTGAACGCTTAATGAATAATGCGCGCTGTATCGCTACTCACCTTTCTCACGCGTACGCACAAAGACAACACACAAACGAACAAAGGCAAGTCTTAAAACACAGAATCAGTAAAATTTTCAGTCACAAAACACCATAAAACACAAAACTTAATTCTTCTAATAATGTCCTGCAGTCGCAGCAGTAAACTGCGAACAGCATATTAGCATACGCTCTGGCGGAAAGTGCTCAAATAATTGTATGCAGCAAAGATAGATGCGCCACTGGCGAGGAATTCAAGAAACAAGGCGCGAGCGCGCGGGTGTCCCCAGCCAGTCGGCATCCCCGCTACCTTTTGATACATACCAGTAGTGCACCACTCATACCTAACGGTGTGAATGATTGACACCAATCGTCTAGCCCAATCAGAAAAGGGTTGAAGCCAAAAAAAACAGAGGAAATAATATGAAACTTTCCCGAATTTATTGCGGCTGACCGGTCGGCCCAAAAATTAAGCAAATTTTTGGGCGAATAAACAAGAAATACTTTTACACGTGTGGGGTATTACGAAAAACTTCCGAATTATGCAAACATTATTGATCTTGATCCAAACATTATTTAACCCTTCATTCTTATGAATTGCTCAATCGACTGACATTTATTATTGCTCATTTGCCAGTGTTTTACGAATTTATTATAAACAAAATCGACTCTAACTGATGTGAAGCTCTGAACGAAGTTGAAATTTGCCGCCCCTAGAGTCGAAGAAGTAGAGATAAAAGGATTTATTTACTCGAGACGACTATCACAAAGTCGAATATCTTACGTGAGCCCGCAATAATGACACGACATAAAACAAAAACAGGAAAAAGATAATGACCCCTTAATAAATCCTATAGAATATAATTAAATAAAAAAATAAATAGGTTATTGTTCATACGAAATGTTATACAATGAGGAGCAATATTTACATAGTTTTTAGCTCTATGGCTGATAAGAAAAACATGTTAATCCATTTAAAGCTCAAATAAAAGAGATTCGGTCGAATAAATATATATATATGACCTAAAAATACGAAAAGAGAAGTATCACAACACATTGTCAGCAACAATGCATGTGAATAGGAATCGCTTCTTTTCACATTTCCTGGTCGAAATGGTTCGTTTTAACAGTGTACAATAAAAATTAGGTATTTAATCAATAAAAATAACTATGTTTTTCATTTTCCATACTAATAATTTACATATTCTACGCATAACATGATAGTAAAAATGATGTGAATGTAACAATGAAAATAAGTAGATATACCTTACAAGTAAAAAATCATTAAATAAAATACTCGTGATACAAAGTATTTAAATTATTATTATTAATATTACTATTATTATTTCATGCAAAGACAAAACAATGATATTGTTCAAAGTATTGAATTGTGGATTTTAGCGCATTAACAATAATATTAATTATTATAATTTTATAACAATAATAATCAATTAAAACATTTAAGAAATGAATGCTGACTTTCCACTCTACTATTACGGGCATATTATTTGCATATAGCAAACAGATTCTTCTATTTTAAAAAAACCGTAAATCGTTTTCATTTAGAAACCACATATTTTACTCATCATTTGTCTTAAACAATTTCTGTATTTCCGTATTTTAAATTTGGAAACTCACTCAGTACCTTTCTGAGAAAATAGGTACTACTCGTTAATATAATAATATGGTCAACGATGAATGTTAAAATTTATCCATATTTTAAAAATTTAAAAAAGTATGTTGTGTTCACTAGTTCAATTGTTGAACTCACTAGTTGAATTTGTATTTTTTTAATAATAATGTCCGTAGAGAAACATAGAGAACAGATATTTAAATCTGCCCTTACGCGTAGGTACTATAAAAACAAAAGTATTGCAAAAATTCTACACTATCGTTTGTTATAAATAAATATTAAGGGATTGGTTTTACAAATATTTTTTGTAATGATTCAATGTTTAAGAACATTTCCATGTTTTAGATCTTACCTCAGGCGTAGATAATAATTGTTGACAGTCTTCGCTCTTGCTGAAAACATTCCAATCCATGACTCGCAGTGTATCAATATTAGTTTATCTGACCATGAAGGAGAAGGGCGGTCAGGCCAATTACTACGCTGTTGGTTATACTTTTTGATCACACCCATCACTATAGCAACCTTTTGATATTTCCAATGATTTGAACCTAATGCTGGCAACTGACGGAGATTATTTGATCGGTGTCACAAATTTCAACAATATACGGAATCGTGTACCTCATAGAGTAAATTGTCTTTAAATTAACAATATATCTTAATCTTACCAGGAATTACTAGAAAAAAACAAAAATTGGCGGTGATAAGTTCTAAAGACAACGTACTTTTACCCACAATGAAAAGATCGTACGTCATTTATCCTTTGAAATTGTTAATTTGATTTAAGTAAATTGTCTATCGCAAATATACCTGTATGCCATTAATTTTGCAACGGAAGTATTTTAGAGCTAAAATCGATCATTCCATCGCTATCTGAAAAAAAAATGTTAATATTTGTAAGCTTGCGCTGATACAGTTATGAGACTACTGATTCACGAAGCATCGTCTTTTAGCTCATTTTATCTACGTGAGTTTTTTTCTAGTATCGCATAGAATTGAACGCGAGAAACATTTTTTGCAAGTATTTGAGTTTGTGTTAAATCTATACTGCAACTGTAGTTGAAATGAAACGAATATGGTGTTTTCTATCGATTAACAGATAAAGAAAATGTATTGCTTTATTGAGAATTGTAATGTACCTATAATTTACAGATCTAGTTGCTAAACATGCCAATTCTTATCTGAGAGAGAATCTAATGTTCGAGTTAAACGTAAATTATTTTACTCATTTTTCAATGTATAATATTAACATTATAATTAAAAGTCAAAGTTAGTCAAGCATTATATTTAAGGGGAACAAGAAAAGAAAGAAAATAAGTTTGCTTGCGGGAATTATTTTATCAGACTCAGCGTCAAACTACGTTTCGCAATACGAGTGTTTTTTCATTGTCTAGTTAACAATTCAACTTCATCTGACACTATCGTTTGCTTCTGTAATATAAATAGACGCTTCTACTGTAAACGTCGCTTGCGATTTTCTGATTTTTCAACATCAATGGATAGAAAGTAAAATACTGCAGTCAGCAGTGACAAACCTCTTTTCGTGCGCAAAGTTGAGTGAAAAAAAGAAACTGTCCCTAAAGTTTGAACACTGAACAATACGTAATTTACAACTCGCGTATTGTATAATCTCGTAATTTTACTTAAAATTATTTTAAACGCCTTTTTAAAAGCCCGTAGTTAAAAGAAAAAGTGAACTGGGGAGTGTATCGATTTTACAAAATGGTATCTAACGTCCGTGTTATTGATTTGTTCGTAACCTCATGACTCACAAGTGTAACTCAAGAGATCATGCCGAATCTCTTGACACTTCACTCATGAAATGTTTTTAAGTTGTATATCTCCTATTTGGAGATGATAATTTATCATATTTTAAGATTACTACAAACTCATTACTTTCATCTACCCCGCTGTCGGTACAAAATAAAACTACAGATTCTGCAACATACAGGAATGTAATGTCAGTTTTACGGTAGAAAAAAAAACAGGAAACATATTTTTTCGTATTACATTCGCTTGCTACTATTACATTTCCTAGAACATATGCAATAGAACACTTTGTTTTTCACTCAAAGTTTGTTTAACTAAAATGTGACTATCACTTTTAAGATGAGAACTTTCATGAAGGGAGTAGATTGCATCAAAAAACTTCTATGATTCCTTCCTGTATATGATATATTGTTAAATAATATTATCCCCAAAATGACGCACGTACAGCATTTAGTTTTCAACTGAGAAAATATTTACATCAACATTTTAACGTTGAGATTTCAACCAAAAAGTTAAACGTTATCCGCAAATTTCTTTTGTTGATAGTGCGCCAGCTATAAACTGCCATGTAATTATACATAATCAGGTTTTCTAGTGAAAATTTCAGGGCATACTTGAAATATATAATTATAACAATTGCTTTCATTTTCTGTAAAATGTGAGTAGTTAACCAACCACTCTGTAATTCTCTGTATATAATTTAATTACTTATCTTAGATTTCGCTGCACAAAAAGTGTGTAAAAATAGTAACGTTTCTTGCTTCCACTTGTTCCGAGTTGTAATGTACAGTTCCATTCCAGCGCGGGTGAGAATAAAAAAGGGAAAAGTATTGATGGAGAGATGAATCACACCACGCAAGGGTTTGCACGCAGGCTGTGCACGCAACGACTCCACTTCCCTGTCCAGGAGTGCTGTGGTAAAATTCATTATGAACGTTCAGTTTTACTACTTTATGGTACGCACTTTTGTGATCTTGGAGTAGACGAACCTCAGTAAGGTAGACCCTACTAGACAATATTCCTCTTGCTCTTTCTCTTCTCTCTCTCTCTCTCTCGCTTTTTTCTCTTTCCCTCCCCCCCTCTGCCCACACCGTTCACTCTCTCTCCCTCACATATCCTATCTCTCTCTCTCTCCATCTCGTCTCTCTGCTGCTCACACACCACACACACACACACACACACACACATAATTTTCGGCGTCCGAGATCCCCAATTTTCGCTCCGAGATCAATATCTCGAGGGAGATTTTCCCCACTATTACTATCCTGTGTCCATATCGCGTGGTTGACAACGTAAAGAAGTCCCTAGCTTGGTGTGGGACGTTCACTGGCGAGGAGTGTATACGGGTGAAGGGACAGATGAATTGACAGATAAACTGACATTTATGTGTAGATAGACACACGCAAATACTTTCTTTTCTGATTTTTTTACTACAATTATTTTTTGGTATAATATGTACATCTTTAGAGCCTGGTAAGTTCCGTAAAACCATCAGAAGAGTGTCATTTTTCAAATATTTCAATCTATAACGCGTCTACCATTACGTGCAATAAAAGTAGTGGGTAGGGATGAAGGCTGGGCGTGAATAATATTGCGTGAAAATCAAAATAAACACTATCGCAAGTGTGATGTATGTTGAAAAGGTACACAGACAGGTACGTATATAGACGATTTCAACACTTTCTAACACACACTTTTCTTTTAAACAATTCATTTTCAGCGCAATTCTTTTTCAATACAATAATTTTTCAGATCTTAACAGGACCCGAATATACATCAAAGTGAAAAAGACCATCTTTCGCACTTTGTCAATCC